GGTATTGAATTGTAGACGAATTTTTTTGGCTCAGCCTTTTTAAAAGTAAAGCTCATTTGTTCTCAAACAATTCGAAATGAATAAGTTATTAAGCAAGAAATAAAATTGCACTACGAATTTTTACCCTCCTCTTTCTAGGGCTACAACTTCCTTCATATTCAAACTTTTGCGCTCAAATTATCCTCTCACCAATCTTAGCTAAATATTTTTCGAAAGCTGACTTTATTAAAAATTTAACACGTTGGAACTTTTTTCTGTGCAAATGCGACTTTTCAACCTTTAACGATCATAACTTCCTTCAAACTCATTTATTTGGGAAGCTGAACCCGGTATGACAAACTGCACAATATTCAAGCTTTCTAGAAAGTACCGGAGCGTTCCTGAAAAGTCAGCAATTCAAAAACCAGTCTTGTTGCGATTTTTTCTGGAGGGGCATTCTTCAAGCTATTTTCTTGAAAAACGCAGGTTTTTTAAAGTTTCACTGGCCGTAACCTCCAGAAAGCAATCTCATGTTGAACATGGGATGTGTTAGAAAGCTTCGAGCATTGAACTGACATCCATTGTCTTGGTGTGCGCCGCGCCTCGGCCGCGCTTCTGATTCGCTGATTTATCTTGAACTGCCCTATTCAGGAAGGAAGGGTTTGATAGATGCTCTATGTATCAATTGTCCGCTGTGGTGAGTCACATCAGAACAAGCTGGACTATTTAACCATGTTTGTTTAAGGCAACACACGCGGCTAAGCCTTATCGTTAGGTTCATGATGTGCGCTTCGGCTGCAGTCCAGTCATGGTGAAGCGCTTTTTTCGAACTGTCTTTACTGCCTGGCTGTTTCTGCATTTCTTCCTCTTCCATGGTTGGGTCCATGCGAGGTAAAAGTCTTTGTTCCTACTGCCGGCCGCCGAGAGAGTCCTTACAAGGTGAACCAACTGTCATGCTCAGCGAAGTATTAAGGGAGAGGGAGCCGACGGTAGATACAGGAGGTCCATTTGCAGCGCGTGATACGAACCCATCCCTTGCGAAGAAGCGCTTTAATTTTTTGTACTGCTGGCTGCCTCTTCATTGCTTCGTAATACTCCTTCTCACTAAGGCTGAGGGATGGAGAGACTGGGCCTGCAGAGAGTAATTAATGTCATGTTTTTTTTCACATATCGTATCTTTTCTTCAGATGTCATATTTTTCTGCTGCGCCACACCCTCTTACTCTCGGCACCACGATTCCTCCACTGACCATCACGGGTACGATCCTCCATGACTCCACCGCCTAACAGATGACGAGCCCCTCACGCGGGGTTCCTCGACCGTATTCACCCTAAATCACTACACAGCTGTGGGAATGGGTCAGGAAACTATGCAATGTTAGGCATCTGTATTAAAAGAAAATCCTTGGAAAAGTTTCTACAAGAATTCTGTGTTGTGGGCAAAACTTCGCCCCAGCCGCGATTTGTACTCAGTCTTTTGCTTATGCTACCAACTAAACCACTGGGGCAGTATTCTTCCCAACTCAGCTTAAGGATGATAAATGTACTATAGCTTACAAACATTCGCACCATGGCGTGATAAATTTCGGGTATGAAGCCCGGTTGGGGCGAAGTTCTGCGCACAACTCAGCATTCTTGTGATAGCCTTGGCAACGCGAACTGTGGCGTAGAAACTGCGGCGTAGAACCACTATCCGGCGGCTTTGCCTTATCCTTCTATTATTATAAAGCCGCTAACTTTGTGTGTCGGTTTGTATGTATGTGTGTGTGTGTGTGTATGTATGTATGTGTGTCCGTCCGCAAAATGAAGTGAGTGAGAAGGAAGCTCATGGGATAAACAAACCGCTAACAAATCGGGTAGCTTACAGGATTTGAGATATCAATGTTTTGTAGCAGGATAGTTGTGATAACACTCTTAGGGCTATATAAACACCTGCTTAGCACACTTCCGTTCATTCCACATGGCAGCTGGAGGGCTGTGGAGAAACGAAGGAAGGATGGGGAGGGGAGGCGGAAAATCTACTGTCATGTCATGATTATTGCGATGCCCTCGACTATATAAAACTCATTTTTTGTTGAGTACGCGTCACCTCACGAGGTGTCGGTTGTTCAGCAAAGTGGAAGGGGGAAAAACCATACGGAAGACATCAAGCAGGAAAGGAAGATCGCGGCGGTTGACGGGGGACCAAACTGGCCTATTAAAAACCAGTAAAACTTGGAAAGTGTTTATCAGTGAGACGTTACAATTAGATTTCGGTTGAGGCACATATAGGTTCCCTGCATAAAATGACATGTAAAGGCGACATTCGTGAGAGTGTCAGGAGAGCAAGTTACTATAAATGATACCACACCATTTGAACGCGCTATCTCAATGAAAAATAGCATCTCTGATGAATCGCACTTGGTGTAGTGTGGGCATTGTTGAACATGAGACTTGAAGTTCTTCAATGAAAATTTGAGCACGGAATCGAAAACTACACTTTTAGTGAAGTCTTTGACTTCATATAGCAATAGGTTCTTGCTCGAGTGAACAGAGTTGCCGGAGAGAAATAACTGATACATGTTTCGATCAGAATTCAGAAGTTCTCGTGGATCTCAACGTCTACAAGAAAAGAAATCTGAACACTGTCAAAATGCGAGATAAATAATAGAGTAAACGTTCTAGTAGGACCTAAACTCAGTAGGAAATCAGCATATATCAGCATAAGAGAAGCTACGCATTCATAGGCTCCCCTCCCTGAAAAAAAAACTCATGAGAATGTTACGCCTTTCTGAGGCGTTTGGTGTTAATCTCTGAATTACCACATCAACAAATAGACAATTGAGAAGTGCTTGTAAATGCATGGAGCCACGCTATGATCGCTTCATGCTTCGAATCTTGTCCAGCCATGACTTCTTGTCCGGTTTCGGTAGGCGACTGGACATCGTGCCAGGGGGCGATCCCACATGAGGCTCTTGGAGGATCGAGAATTTCCATTATAGGATGTCGTTCAGATGGCCTTGCACTCGTCCTTAGCTGCTGTGCTTCCACTGGTTTCTAAAAGACATTCTTGATTGTGAGGCAATCAGCGAAATGGGAAAAGTGTTTATGAATTAAAAAATGATAGCTGGCTTAGAGCCAAAACCAACGTATGCTTCCTGCAGAAACGGTGACTGCAAAAACGAGGTCACCATCTCTTATCACTTAATTTCCACGGTATGTATGCCTTGCTTGCACATAAGTTTATGACTAAATTAGAAAAAAAGCACGAACGGTGGTTGCTATTCAACAGCGAAAAGTCAGTTTTTATGAGCTCGTACAATTTTTCAATAGTTCATAGTTTTGCTAATCATTTACTAAAGTATTTTGCTATATCCTAGAGTACGTAGAGCTCTACGTGAGATCCTGAAGGGATAAAATCAGTGGTGTTCACGCAGTTACCTTTTGGGATGCGCCACGTATTCCACCTTTATTCAGAATCACATTAGCATTTCAATGCAATGTGTCCAATACACAAGTGGGGATGCCGCATTATGCATTGTTGTTGTTATTAAACCAAATCCCCCCTTAAAAAAGAATCGCGTACGGGTGGCAAGACATCTAACATATCTCTCAGAGCTTGTTTAACCTGGGCGAAATACATTTCAGGATTTGATCTTAACAGCTCAACCGTATGTTCGTAATTTATATTCCTGAAAGGATGAAAAAAAACCGCCGCTTGGAAAACCCCCCGCACTCTTGGCTGTAGTGCTAGAGGTCAATTGCCGCACGCTTTTCTTCTTTGCAAACCTTGTATCACCAGCGCAAGCATACTGACCGTTATTTCGCACTTTTTTGCGCACTTCAACCAGGGTGAATAACGGTCGAGGAATTCCTCGACCATCGCTCTCTGCTGTGCGAGAGTAGAGCCGATAGTGAATGTACGCGCGGAGAGCACAGACGGCTCGCGGGTGGCGAGAGTGAATATCCGCGCGCGAGAACGTAAAGGATCAGGCGAAAATCCTCGACGTGCCGTTGAGGAATCCTCAAGCAATATTCACCTATTGCTTTTCGGAGCAGTTTGCGGTGCAAAAATTAGGGCAAGTTTCCAGGGTGTGCGCAAAACAAGCAATGGAGTAAATTGTGACAAATTCCCTCATTAGGTATCTTCTTTCATTGAGTACCGGCGACGCTCGCGACGCTACACGCCCACCAGCGGCTGAGCAATCACGAAAGCTGCTGCTATTATCGTTATTGTTTTGCTCTTCGCATTGACACATTTCTTTTTCAAGAGGCCCAGTATGCTTTTCATGTTTCAGCTACTGTCATCTATTGAAGAATCATAGTGGGCCATCACCTAGTGCACATGCTATAAGGATCACCAGGGACAATCATCGCTCGGTCGAAATGGATGGCTCGTCCGAAGTAATAAAGCGAAAAAAGGGTCCCATTACCCAGATTCCAGGCCGTTTTTCTTGGTTCCTACTTCCCCACAGCACCTTCGGACAGTTATGCTCCTATTGCCAGCTGGCGATCATTTAAATAGTATTATAAACCCGCGTTTGACACGCCTCTGTTCTACGCTGCATAAATCGAGGCAATGCCTTCCAAAACTAATGAATATTGTCCGGTCCGAGATGCCCGGTGATTTGCACTCGTATATAAACCGATGACCATTATTTCACTTAGCTATGATAACTCACCATACTACAGAAAGAATTGCTTCTTCAAACGCCTCCTCTCAAACATTCAAGCATGGAGAACATAGAAGGGCTCATCTCGTAAGCACTGACGCACTATGACTACAATTTTGTTGAACTACCTATTCTTCGCGCTGGCCTGTTCTGTGATAACTGTATTTTGCTGTTATTAGCGATCCTGAATTTTTTCGCATTTAGTATTCTAGGCCTGATAATTCAGTCAAAACAAATAATTTACCGTTTTTTCGCTGAGATGACATAGAGAAGGGCGTCTGATTTCGTGTCAGCTTGCGCTGGGGCTGTCGTTGAATGCGCGACTCTTCGCTTTTCGGCTTCTTCATATCGACGCTCAGCCCTTTCGCGTTCATCGGTTTCTGATCATCTGCGCAGAACGGCGCATTTCTTCTGAATACGTTGGCCGATCATGTGTCTCCATACTGTAACCCCGTTCCAGCTGACGCACTCTTTCCACTTTCATCTTCTCCGGGAGTTGATCGTAAACTGAAACTCTTGCATAGTAATCACATTGTAAAACGGGTCAGACTTGGACAGCTCACTCACGTCGAAATGGTACTTTCTCTGGGAATTTCCTATTACTCACTGGAGTTGCCCTGGACTATGGAAGGGCAGCTCTTGTAAAGAGGATGTCGGCACTTGTCCGGTGTCGATAGGCCTGAACAAACTCTTGAATTAAACGGTATCGCAAAATCCTGGCTTGTCTTTTCGGTTTCTTTCATAACATTGGCCTTTTCCAACCATGTAAAATTCTTAGCCTACCTGTAAGCCCCTGTCATGGAGCAAGAATGCAGCATTTCTCCGAAGCTAATACAAAAAAGTGACTCAATGATCAAGCTAGCAGTAGGATCGTTCACAAAAAATGAGCCAGAAAGTGTTAGGCTTTTGGATGGCCTTAATGCGACCTCTACTGAGTCATACGGCCGGAGTTTAACTGATTTGAAGTGGGGAATATTCTAACTGTCAGCTCTGAAAAACCTTGATTGTAGCCTTCCATACTAGGCTGACGGCGGACTTTTATGCTTCGGCGAGTGTCGTCGAATCGCCGCGAACGACGCTGTTCTTCTACCTCGACAAGGCTGAAAATAAATAGTTTGTGTTTTTGACATTATTCTTCCTGAAATGTGCATAAAATTCGAAGAAGATATGGTCAGTATTGAATAACAGTTAACATACTTATACCTGAATGACGTAAGTTTTCCGCGGAATTTAACTAAACGTGATCATATGTAGGTTCATAACATGACAGTTGCCGAATTCTTATCAGCTTCGGGCTTCAAACTTACTCTACAACCTAAACCGGTTTGCCTCTCATTATAGTGATTTTCGTTATAGTTTAAACATCTTACAAATGAAACGCTCAAATTTGCGTTTTTTTATCTTTTGATTCTCCTGTTGTTGATTCGATGAACTCAGCTGCTGAGGCCTATGGAATTATTTATGGCGCTTATTGGGCGGAAGTGGTGTAGTGGCAAGTGGCACGCTTACCACGCGAGCGGTCCGGGGATCAAATCCTGGGTCGTGAGTCGCCCGGGCCAACCAAGCCTTCCATCCCTCCGGGGTCGGTTAATTGGTACCAGACTTGTCTGGGAGGATAAAAACACTGACTTGTACATCGGCTGGCCCCCGCAAGTCATTGTATAGGCCACATCGCATGTACAAATGCAAGTAGAATTGCGTGCCGAATCCCAAAAGATTGATCAATCGGTCTTCTGTTTTTTTAGTTTAGCCTTTCATGCGCTTTTACTGGCGATCAAACTCCCATCAGTGCCGGCCATTCATGATCGCATCACCCCAATAGAAACCGTATTTGTTCCTCTTCGGGTGGTAATCACCGTTGGGTTGGCGGTAAGGCAACATGAAGAAATCGCCGAGTTAATCAGTTCCAAAGCTACCACCTGCGACAGGTGACGTCAGTAAGCTCTGTTTTTTTTTCAGATTCCTCGGAAGATAATTGGAAGTGACGATTTTGCGATTTTAAGACAATGCCAGTTAAAGAGCTGCGGCACCCCGTAATGTGCTGCTGTTATTTTCTGCCCTGTGTTCATGGCGACCAAGCGAGTTTGTATTGCGCTGAGACAGGTGACTGGTGAACGGATAAGATATTCCAGTGTGTTTCCTATGGAGTCAAACCTATCCCACTTAACGGGGTGAGGCCAGCATAACTGATTCTTTTTCTGTCGTGGGTTGCTCGATCTCGTTACGTTTGTAAGATAATGCACCAAGAAGAAAAATATGTGCACCAATAAAATTTGTGCACGGAGGTAATTGAAAGCTTTTCGGGCAAGAGGTGATTTATTTTGCAGCTGATCTAAACAATCTTTGACCTCACTTGAGCAAAACAATAGAAAGTGTACCCATGAGCCCACTCTTTTTGAGGCCATTCGTGACTATGATCTATCGCCGTCAACTTCTTCGGGTCCGGTTATTTGGAGCATATTCCGCCATAAACCTGATCTGAAAACACAGTATGTAACTGGTCTTCTGTCTTTATTCGGCGTAGACTTTACGCTCAATGAGTACAGTCTGGGTAATCCTAACCAGGCTCAGCGAGGAAGGGGTAATCACAACGATGGAAATTTTTTTATAAATTCCACAAGCTCCCCCGACCCTTCCAATTACTGTCCCAAGGCCACCGCTGCAACTACTCAGTACGACTCCCATAGTCGCCCATCGCTCACTTCAAAAATCCTAATAGCGACAGCCCCCCCCCCCCCTCGTTGATAAATTACCAGTGGATGGTTCACCTTGCAACGAAATACAACGTAATACACGAAGCTTACCTTATGGGCCTGTTAGCTGACGATTTTGGATTCTCACGGACTGGAGCTAATGGTGCCTTGCGATTCTTATTCTGCGACATTTCTCTCATCATGTACTCGATTCGGCTGACGGCAGTTGGCGGTTTCTCCAGCGACGTCGGTGGCGGAGCGTCTGAAAATGACTATATCGTGAGGAGGACCTCTTCCTTACTGAAGAAAAACAAGCTTGAAAGAAACGGTAAAGGCCGCACTCTCGGCCACCTGTCAAGATAATGGTATACAGTTGAGCTCTGCTGCATTTTCGTGGGTGTAATAGCGTAGAAAAGCACATTTGCTCGTAGTTCATAAGTGACAGCGATCGGTTCCATAAGGTGAGATGCACGCTAGCCTACCTTTTAGGGCCTAAATGTTGAAAGGCTCACGACTTACTTCGTCCTGCACCGAATACGGCGAAGAATTCGCTTTCAAGGTCTTTTTCGTTATCAAGCGATTTTTTGTTTAGAATTCGTCTAGAATTTTCCACTCGAGAGCCTTGCATCTTGAAAGGAAGGAAGAAGTTCATGTCCCGTTTCACCTAAAATAGAAGCACTTAGTGCTCTGAATGTTCCAACACGTCTCCCCCATCGCTAAACGGCAGGGGGAGTCCCTGTCTAAGCCCCTGCCCGACGTTTTTTTCTACTTTTTCTTTCTCCATTGACCAACTTCTCACCTGCAACGTCATTATAGGTGGTCCTTACCCGCGAATTCGTTCCTGGATTGTTGCTTTAAGAAAGACCATCTTGAAGTGGAATATCGAGAGAGAGCAGTCCTGTAATCCTTTGACTTCAACGAGTCCTGTAACCGTGCGGATTAGGTAGATTAAAATCTATATATCCTTCTATATATCCTTCACCCGGTGTTTTGCCGATATGGTAATGATGACCTGTGAAAGGCTTGTGGACTGGACTACAAGCAGTAGGTGGACAGATCAGGCGATTGTTTCCAATGTCGTGTAACGTTGACATTGACAGAGATAAGGAGTAAAAAGCAAGATGAAAGACAGCCTTCTATAATATGGTGATTCTTTCGAGTGATTTTCGTTTAATAGGTGGATCCTTCATCCAAAATAATCGTAAGTTATGAAAGCACCATCCTATTTATATACCAGATTAGTCCCCCGTCAACCGCCGGGACCTTCCTTTCCTGCGCAAGCTTTCTATCCTCCGCTATGGTCCCTTCCTCCTGTGACACCAACACCTCCTGGAAGTGACGCGTATGCAACACAATGGTGTTTCATACAGTAGAAGGGACTCAATCATGATATGACGGTAGATTTTTCTTTCCTTCC